GTGCAATCTTATTAGAAAAAGTGACAAAATTGTCAGGTGAAAGATTCCAGTCCCCTGCAGTAATGACAAACCATCCGCTAGACCGTCATTGAAAGGTGACTGTCTAATGTGCTCTGAAGAAGTCGGCAATGGTAGCAATTCCACAACTTCCCAAGGCAATCTCGTCTTGTGCTCATCCACCTGAGCCTTGGGAAGTTTCTCTAATGTCCAAACTAAGCCTCCCGTTTTACAGTTTAACCGATTACTTCTTGCCCTATCATCAGAGGTTGAGAATCATTTTTCTCTTCTACTTTTAACACCCTTTTAGGTACTAGAAAGCTGTTATGTTCCCCTCTCATCCTTCTCTCTTCAAAATAAACAAGCCCAACAATTTCAATCTTCCCTCGTCAGTTATATTTTCATTTTTTGCACTCTTCTCTGGACTTTCTCCAATTAGTCTACATCTTTCTTGAAATATGACACCAAGAATTGAACATTATATTCCACACGAGGAATCAGCAACGACTAAAGCGGAAAAATTACTTCTCATAGTCTGCTTGCGACACCTCATGTTATAGAGCGAGATAAAGACATATTTGCTTTTTGCAAGTGTAACATCATTTTCTCATATTTTCAGTCCCCCGATCCCTTTCTGGAGATCACCTTCATAAGACAGTCACTTCCCATTCTGTATGTGTGAAACTGCTGCTACTTCCATCTACATCTTTCACTATTAAAAACTTAAGCTTTAAGTCTGAATTTATCATGTTTCCAGATCCTTTCTTGGACCTTTCACTGCTAGAGGATAGAGCGCATTATCAAACTCCGTGTCTTTCACTAGGAGGCAGGGTTTTCTTTTTCTATTACTGTAATCATTCTCCACGCTTGTCTCAGATCACTTTCAATTTAGCAACCACCTTCTTGAATTGGGATCACCAAGAACTGGGCACTGGAATCCAGTAGTGACTGCACCTGTGCGAAATACACAGGTCAAATAACCTCTCTGCTACTACTTCAGATATTCCCCTCACCCCCCGACCTCCACACGAAATCTCATAAACCCTTTTGGCACCTGTGTGTTCATATCCAGTGGATTCTCCATTGCAAACCTTCCAAATGTTTTCCACTGTTAAAGCTTAAAAAAAAAAAAAAAAAAAAACCTTCAAATGTCTCCGCTTTTATGCTGAAGGAGAGACGCGCCAGAGACACCGCGAACGTGAAGAGATATGTTACAAACAGCCTAATGTGATGTACATTACAAAAAAAATCATGTAGTCATCAAATATTTATGTTTACCTATTTACATAAAGTAACATTTACTCTATTCTCATTATACTGAGACATTTTTCCCACTTTATCAGTGACAAATGTCATTATTATTCAAATACCCGATTATTTCATTCTCAGTGCTCTAAAGGAAGAAAGCATTTTGTCATGGTGGCTAAGAGGACATTTTTTACCATAGTTAGGGATTATTAGTGATAAATTTAGCTGTAATGCAGTTTCAATACTTGGGAACCATTCTGTCACATTGGATTAAGTGATGACTTAGTACAGGCCAGTGGGGTCATCTTTGCACTTTATCTCGGGACAGAATGATGTGGAACTGGGGGGTATGGTTACAGGTATGGGTGGTAAGGGACGGAATACAGTGCTGGGTACGCCTTTTAAATGAGAGTCCTGCTGTTGGTGTTTGAAATGAGATCACTGGTTTTAAGCTGTGCAATGTTCTGGGAGCGAATGCTACCACTTTAAACCTGACTGCAGCGAGTTACGAAGGGCTCTCACAGAACTCTGACATTGGGCCACGCAAGAGCAGGTATGATTCACTATTGAGATATGCAAAACAATGCACATAGAAAACGATTTACCTCCATTCCGTGTGAAAACATCCTCTTCCTTTTTGACTGTGTGTAAATTTGCACTATTATTGCCGGAGTCTATTTTTTTCATCCACTTGGGCGCATATTGAATACATCTCACATTCTCCAGGGATTTGGAAAGTTTGAATATAAAACAATCAAACCTTTTCAATCCTAATTAATAACATGAGTATAAGTCCTTGCTTAACTGTGCCCTGGATGAACTAACTTGTTCAAGTTCTCATTCTAACACACATTTTTACACGACCTCAGACCATTTTTGCGCAGGAACCAAAACTGGATGCAGGATTAAGCAATGGCCCTGCCACAGCAGCATAGCCTACTGCTTACCTACTCCCAAGCCCTGCCATATACGCCCACTCGGCAATACACCTGCTAAAGCAACACTCAGGCTTTGGGCGTTCCTCATCCTTTTCAGAGCGTCTGAAAAAATCGGCTCCTTCTCCGAGCTTCTGGGGTCTCTCTCTTTCTTGCTAGAGAATTTGTCTGCACCATTATTTGCCAGTTTTTGGGTAATCTGGTCTTGATGAGCTCCGGGAGTCCTGCCAGTAGCACGGCTACCGACTGGGGGCCACCTGGCTAAGCAGCAGCTCATCAGAAAAAGACCTGGGGATTACAGTTGCTGAAATGCTGGTGCACCTGATGTACAAGGCTAGACCAAGCAACTTGGGCTTATTTAGTCTACAGAAGAATGAGGGGGGAATTTGAGAGCAACCTTTAACTGCCTGAAAGGGGGGCTTCCAAAGAGGACGGAGCCATTACCAACAGAACAAGCAGCAACGATTCAAGTTGCAGTGGGGGAGGTCTAGGTTGCATATTAGAAAAACTATTTCCCTAGGAGGGTGGGGAAGCCCTGGGATGGGTTCCCTGGGGTGGTGGAATCTCCATCCCTAGAGGTATTTAAATCCTGGCTTGACAAAACCCACATGGGACGATTAATTGGGATTGGACCTGCCTTTAGGCAGGCGGCTGGACTCTCCGACTGCCCGAGTTCTCTTCCAACCCTATGATTATAGCACTCTAGGAATACGTCAAGGAGGAACCAAGTCCCCCCTCCCCCTGGGCCAGAGGAGCCATTGAGCTTCCCCACAGCTGAGCAGTGATTTTGTGCCGGCGCAATTAGGTTTTTCTCTTTAGGTGGCAGGGGACTGATTGGTTGGGGAGGGCCATGAGCAGGAATAGAGGCATCGGGAGGGAAAAAAGGGGAAGGAGGGACTTTACGGCAGTGAGGAGAGGAGGAGAGGTATCAACACTTGTCAGTGGATTCCACTGGTTCCATTTGCCTGGTGAGAACAGGGCTTGGATCTGGCTGCTCCCCCCCGGGTCTGCCAGTCCAGTTCATTTTGTCTTGGTTATAAGAGCACCCAGCCTGTATTTTACTGGCAGGATACGTCCCTCGCCAATTCTTAGTCCCTGTCTGAGGAACTCATTGCTATTCAAATAATAAATATCCCCTCCAACCAGAGGGGTAGGAGCTTGTGGCAAGGCTGGGGCCACCCTTGGGAGTGGTGGGAGAGGTGTAAGCCCTCCCCTGCCTCTCCCTGTGAGCCTTCCCCCAAGCTGGGCTGCTGAGAACAGGCAAGCCAGGAGTCCACTCCAGGAACATACTGCTGACCCTCCATACAAACATCAGATCTTTTGTTCCAAGCCACATAGGCATCTTAACGCCTCTCTGGCTTAACCCGCACATGGAATCTGTTCAGAGCAAACCAGTTGTTAGTCACTAATTTCCTACTCTAACAAAGCACTTGACCTGCATCTGACGAAGTGGGTCTTTGCCCACGAAAGCTCATGCTCCTACACTTCAGTTAGTCTATAAGGTGCCACAGGACTCCTCGTGGCACTTGTACAGAGACAGTCTGTTGGAGGCGAAAGGAGGTGAGAGGATGAATTTTTACACTTGTGATTTTATAACGTGCAAGACAAACAAAAGAAATTGTTTTAAAATAAATTTTAAACTCGGGACAGTCTGCCACCGGGTTTCGCAAATGCCTTCTTAAACCCGACTAGCTCTGACAGAGGTTCGATGTCTGCTAATGGCTCTAGCAGGCTGTGTCACATCTAAGGCTGTCCACACGAGTTTTTTTCGGAAAAACGGCTCTTTTTCTGAAAGAACTTCACTTACGTCCACACAGCAATTGCGTTCTTTTGAAAAAGAATTGAAAGAACAGATGGGGGGGGGTTTTCGACATTGGTAAACCTCTTTCTACGAGGAAGAAGCCTTTTTCCAAAAGAGCTCTTTCAGAAAAAGGCGTGTGTGGACGGGGAAGAGGGAGTTCTTTCGGAAGAAGAGGAAAGAGGAAAAAGCACAGGTGCCCTGGTGGCCACTCCGTCCATAGTACTCAATGCAGGAGAGCATCCATTCAGTGTGAACACTCTCTGTCAAAAAAGCAGATCACTTTTTCGATGTGCTTTGGAAGATCTCTTCCGGAAACGCTTCTTCTGAAAGAAACCTGCAGTCTCGTCGTAGCCCTTAGATCCCCTCCAGAGGCAGCAGAATAAGCGAACAGTTATAAAAATAGGCTTGGGATTTGGCCGTGGGGCAAACTCCTGGGGCCCAGGATCCCTGGGAGGGAGGCTTGGCCCCGACCTTGTCTTGGTCACTTTGAGCAGGGGCTGGGGCATCCCCACTCGGGGGTGCGCCTTCTGGCCGTGGTAGCCCCGCAGTGGTAGGCACCAGGCATGGCCCAGCAGGTGTGAAAGTGGCTTGGAATCTCAGAGGCTGGATTCATTGTAGTGCCAAGGGAGTGAGTGGAGAAAGAACCCCTCCCCCTCACTGTGCTCCCGGCGTGTGCACAAGGCTGCCCCTGCCCACACTCACAGTGAAAGGGCTGGCACCTGGCAGCGCAGAGATGGGGAACCACAAGCTCGTGACCAATCTAGAGCCTGCCTAAGCCCCTCTCCAATTCCAGCTCCAAGCCCAAACCCTGGCAGGGAAAGGGCAGAGTCGGGAGGCTCTAGGAATAAACTCCCTTCCTGCCCCAGAGCCACAGATAAAGGTTCCCACACCCCTTGGGTACCTATCCCCCCCCCCCCAGTCCTTCAGCACTGCCGGGCACTCCAAGGAGCATGGGGCCTGCTGGCTCAGCCCCCTGGCAGATGCCAGACCTCCCGCTCACAGCCACACGGAGGGAGCGATGCCGGCAGGTTTGGGAGAGCCCGGCTGCCCTGGCAGGGATGGGGGCAGCACCACACGCAGGGGAGACACCCGTTTATTGAGGGCAGAGGAGTTCTGGTACAAACCGGTATGTACAGGGGGCGGGGGGCAGGGCTGAAACAAATAGTCGTAACAAAAAGCCACCCCAGCAGCGAGAGAGGGACCCCCGAGGGGATCCCCGGGTGGGGGGCATTTCCAAGGGGCCGAGCATGGCTCCTGAACGGGGGCGGAGGAATTCCAGCAGGCGGCGCCCCCCCCAGTGTGCACTGGGTGGGGTGAGGTCCCCCAAGGGGAAAGCTGCTCAGTCGCTGTCGCTCGCCTCCTCACTGGAGTCCGAGGCAGCCTCACTGCCGCTCCCACTGGCCTCTTCCTCCTCGGCGTTGGAGCCCTCGCTGCCACTGAGGAAAGGGCTGTGGCCGCCGCGGTGCTGGGTGCCCCCCTCGCTGCCACTCTCCTCGCCGGGGCTGCGCTGCCCGCCCCCCTCGCCGTCTGAGTCCTCGTCGTCGTCGCTGCCGAAGATCTCCTCCTTGTCGCGGGCTGCCCGCTCGTCCTCCTCGCTGGCCTCCGGCGAGCCCTCGCTGCCCTTCTCCCGCTCCTCATCTGCAGGGCAAGGCGCAGGCTCAGAGCGGAGCAGGGAAGGGCGGCTGAGGTGGTGTGACAGCGTGGGGAGGGGGAGGGGGCAAGGAAGGGAAGAGACCATACCCTCTTCCCGGGGGAGCGGTGGGGGAGGGGTGCCGGAGGAGAGGGGATCGTGTCTCCCTGCCGGGGAAGGGGCGAAAGAGGAGGGAAAAACAATGGTCCCTCCACTTCCACATCCGGCAGCAGTTCCAAGGGCGACCGCCAGAGGGTGCTGCGAGCCCTTGTGCAGCCCAAGGGCAGGGAAGGGGACAGCACAGGCTCCTTCTCCCTCAGAGCTACAACTCCCCTTCCCCCGTCCATACCAGAGCCCTGGGCCTCCTTGTCCATCTCCTCCTCCTCTTCCTCCTCCGGCTCGTGATTCTCCAGCTGCGCCTTACGAGCCTCCTGCCAGGGCGGAGAGCCGGATTAGACATGGGCCAGCACGGCACAGCCCTCCAAGGCTGGGGCCCCGCCAGCGCCCCACAGGGCCACTCCTCAGTCAGGGAGAGAGTATCAGGGCTTTCGGGCTGGGAGCCAGGACTCTGGGTTCTCTCCCCAGCACCGGGGGGCGGGGGTCTAGTGGGTTAGAGTGCTGGAGGCTGGGAGCCAGGACTCTGGGTTCTCTCCCCAGCACCGGGGGGCGGGGGTCTAGTGGGTTAGAGTGCTGGAGGCTGGGAGCCAGGACTCTGGGTTCTCTCCCCAGCACCGGGGGGCGGGGGTCTAGTGGGTTAGAGTGCTGGAGGCTGGGAGCCAGGACTCTGGGTTCTCTCCCCAGCACCGGGGGGCGGGGGTCTAGTGGGTTAGAGTGCTGGAGGCTGGGAGCCAGGACTCTGGGTTCTCTCCCCAGCACCGGGGGGCGGGGGTCTAGTGGGTTAGAGTGCTGGAGGCTGGGAGCCAGGACTCTGGGTTCTCTCCCCAGCACCGGGGGGCGGGGGTCTAGTGGGTTAGAGTGCTGGAGGCTGGGAGCCAGGACTCTGGGTTCTCTCCCCAGCACCGGGGGGCGGGGGTCTAGTGGGTTAGAGTGCTGGAGGCTGGGAGCCAGGACTCTGGGTTCTCTCCCCAGCACCGGGGGGCGGGGGTCTAGTGGGTTAGAGTGCTGGAGGCTGGGAGCCAGGACTCTGGGTTCTCTCCCCAGCACCGGGGGGCGGGGGTCTAGTGGGTTAGAGTGCTGGAGGCTGGGAGCCAGGACTCTGGGTTCTCTCCCCAGCACCGGGGGGCGGGGGTCTAGTGGGTTAGAGTGCTGGAGGCTGGGAGCCAGGACTCTGGGTTCTCTCCCCAGCACCGGGGGGCGGGGGTCTAGTGGGTTAGAGTGCTGGAGGCTGGGAGCCAGGCTGCCCCCCCGCCTTGGCCCTGCGCTTGCTGAGCCGCACCCTGGGGGAAAAGGTGTCATGTCAGAAGGGGCACAGAGCCTCCCCAGCAGCCAGGCCCCCTCTGCCCGTGTGGTGTGGAGCCAACAAGGGGGGACAAGGCCCTGGTGAGGGGGGAGGGGTTAACCCCCAGCCCATGCAGCGTGGAGTCAGGAGGGAGTTGTGGGGGGACTCTCGCACCCAGTGGCAGCATCCATTCAGGAGGCACTGAGGGAGCCCGGCGTGCCCCAGGCTTGGAGTCTCATTAGCAGGAAGCGGTGGAGGGCCAACCCACCTCCATCACCCACCCACAGCCGAGGGCACGCGGCAGGACACGGGCACCCCTGCAGGCTTCCAGCTGCTCCAGGCCGTGGCGTGTCTCTGCCCAGGGCCCCATCCCGCCGTGCCGCCCTGGCTCACTGAGAGGGAAGCGGAGGCCTTGCCTCCCGGCTGTGACCTGAGGCGCCCAGGACTGAGTGGAGTCAGGCTGCCCTGGTCCCTGGCTGCTTGCTCCCGCCTCTGCCTGCTCCAAAGTGGCCTGAGGCACCACAGGACACAGAGCACCCTCTGCCCCCTCCCACCCCGGCTGCCCGCAGCCCCACTTTGGGAACAAAACAGGCAAGCCGCATGGCCTCTCCCTGCAGCACTGGGGAGGGGGAAAAGCTGCTCACCGCCCCCCCTCACCCCCCACCCCAGGGCTCACTGGGGCAGGGCCGGTTCTCTCC